GCAGCACCTCTTTTCACCCTCTGTCTGAAAAAGTTATGTTATTATGTTCTGGAAGTAAACAATGGGAGTCCAATGGAGGCGTTTCAGGCAAAGGGGGAGTGTGTGGGAGAGAGGGAACACTGGGAATGTTAGCCTCTGCAGACCATTTACATGCACAAAAACACAACGCACTACAGGAAAGGGAAAACCCCAAAAAGCAGAACAAGGCCTCTTTAAGCTGTGAATATAAGATTGAAAATATTCTTGATGATGATGATTTCATCTTTACCTGCCGTTTGCTCCCATCGGCATTGATTGCACGTTTACTTAAATGAAGCGCGCCAGCGGCTGTGAAAACGCACTGTCATGGTTAGTTACACCCTGTCAGCTGATCAGCTCTATTGTGTGAAGCATAACAATCCTGTGACGGTGCTGAACCATCGGTGTTGTTAATCATATTGTAAGTCTGTGAAAACGTTACTGCGGCTGATTTCCTAAATCACATAGAGTTTACACGGGTTTTTTATTTTTTATAAACTAGTTTTCTTATAATGAAAAACACAAAACAGTTATACTTATTTCGTTACAAACGACATGAATAAGTGCCTAAATTGAGGTAATCATTCAATTTAAAAGTGTTTAAATGTCAAGAAGGTACATTAAGTATTTACAGAACTGTAGTTGTGTAATGCAGCCTTCAGTTCAAATGAGTTTATAATGCAGATTGGCACAAAAAGAATAAAGAGTGCAAGCATCTGCAAAAACAAAACATATATTTAATGAAAGGCTTCACATTTTCAAACCATGTCATCTCAATAGAGTCAACAATACTGGCATATCTGACAGAAAGATTTAAATGAAACATTCCTTATGTTCTTCTCCGAAACGATAACCCATGAAAGAAAAAATCACAGTCAATTATAGATGCATACGATGCATTATTGAGCAGTGTCATTTATTTCACCTTTACGGTTGAGCTCATGAAAAATTATGCCAATTACTGATTTCCTCTCGGGCAATGTAGTAAGTGGTCGGGCCTTTTGTTCGGGCGTCACACAGGGCTCTCCGTGAGGTCTGGGGTGGGGGGAGGGGTGTACCTGCGTCATCGGAGCATTTGTGGCACCTGAGCTTAGTCAATTAGGAAAACGAGTATAGCGCGGTGATATGCACCCTTCCTTCGTAGTTCCTTTTTTAAATGTAATCAATCTCGCTATCACTCAGCCAGTCCAAATTGAGTTGCTCTCATGTACTTCTCATATGTGAGATAGACGAATATCAAAACAGCAATGACATCAATCCTAATCCAATTTCTCAAAAATAGAATAGAAGCTTACCAGGCAAAGGCACACTTCTTTGATCTACTCCTCTCCAGCTGTATTGTGGCGCTGTAACGTTCAAAGTCTCAATTAACTAAGTACCTAGATTGTATTTTCAGACAGCTTTGATGTGTGCCAGTTGTGTCTGTTTTTTTTAAGCAGAAAATGTCATTTTTTTGCAAATGTGTTTGGAAAAACAATCTTCACTTATCAGTATGATCAATTAGGCATGTTGCTTTTACATTACACTACTAGACAATATAGACATTTACAAAGGGTCTAAATTATAATCCCCATGCCTTATTCACAAAGAAAATGTCTACTGAATACAACAGCAGTGTGTTTTAAAATATACACATGAGTGATTTCAAAGTGTCTTCCACTTTTCACTAACCTTGAGCGGTGTCCATGAACAGGTGGGGTTTTGATCCTCTCCCCCCCCCCATGGGTTCAGTCCGTATTTTCAACAGAGCTACGGGAAGATTGATACTCCCCGTGCCAGCTGGAAAAAAGAGAATGAATCAGAATTTAATATGACTTTGATGTATTATTTTCATCTTGGCCTGTGCCACAGACCCACTGAGAAACCCAGCACACTTTCCCACCGCATTTTAAAAGATTCAAATTGGCTAAAACTTTTTGATGTAAGAGACTGTTCAGGAGTGTATACAAAAGTTACCTTGCTGGGAGCATACTACCCTTCTTAATATTTTATTGGAATCAATGTCTTTTATTTGTAAAATGCGGTGTGAAATTCACAGGATCTACCTTGCACAGTTATTCATTTCCATAGGGATTCAGGTTTTATCAATTCAGAATACTTTGTGTTTTTGTTTGTGTGTGATTAATTCACATAATAAAAACGTTTTTATATTGAAATACAGAATTATAATGGAAATCAATCTCCATATTATTTGTACACTTGCCAGCATGTTGAGCTTTTCACAGTATCATATTGATAACATCTAACATACACACAGAATGTGTAGAACCAGAGGTGCATTGTTAGTCTTCACATTGTACAATTCAAAAATGGAAGTAACAAATAGGCTTTTGCAGGAGTGAGTCAGAAATGTGCATTGTTAGCACTTACAAATGAAATCAGCATGGATACAGAGAAAGACAGGAAGCACAGTTACAAAGAAATAGATGGATTTAGTCAGTAGACATGCCTGACACCTTGATACAAGCTGTACTGCAGTATTTCACCACGGAAAGGCTGCAGGCTGTGAGTGCCATATGGTCTGCTTGTTCCTTCTTTATCTGGAATATGAAGTTACATATTTATATCTGAAGATTTATGTCCCAGTCAAAGGGTAACTTCATTACAAGTGGACCTGGTAGATAACAATGTCTGATAATGTAATAGGCTATACATATTTCTTAAACTCTCAGCTTGCATCATTTGCATAAATATATATGTGAAAAGTTGTTATATGTACAGGTTTTAACATAAGCAGTGTATTGTATTCATCTTAATAATTGAGACACAGGTCTTCTCTTTTTTGATTAGTGACAGACATACCAGCAGCTGAAGGTAAACAGTCTTTTATTTCGGGAGTTGCTAGTTAGCAAATACAAGAGAAAAAAACTACAGGTTTGTTGGTCATTTTCACTTATTTTATGTATTGTACTGTAAAAAGCACCTGTTACAACATCTGCAATGCCAAAAACAGCAATATGTTGTTAAACACTTGACTTGTACTGTTTTTGACTTAGTTGCTGGATGCTAACGTTAATGTAGATTGTAGCTTATATTTTCACCATCTAGCTTAACAGTCAAGCATTAAAAACGACTATACTTTAGTAAAAAAGTACGTCGTTTTAATCATGCTGAATCAGAGGTGATGTGAACGTATTCATATTATTTCATAATAATTAATATTATTAATGTGAGCTAGTTGCTAAGGGAAAAAATCATCTAGGTTTAGCTAACGTTAGCTCAAAAGGTGTTAGCATATATTAAGTCTGCAAGCTTAACAAACTGGCATTAAAAAACACTTTACTTAAATAAAGATACGTAGTATTAATCATGCAGAATCAGAGGTGATGTGAATTTATTCATATTATTTCACAAGAATGAATATTATATTAATGTGAACTAGTTGCTAAGGGACACATTCAGCTAGGTTTAGCTAACATTAGCTCAATAGGTGATAGCATATGTCAGCTAGCTTAACAATCGTGCATTCAAACAATTTTACTTACATTAAAGTATGTAGGTATTTTGAGCAAAATGTGCATTTAAATTACAAGTATTAATCCTTGTGAATCAGAGGGGATGGGATTTAAAAAAGTTATATCATTTTAATAGTTGACATATTCAGCTACCTTTAGCTAACGTAAGCCCAAAGGTGACGGCTTATATTTCCACAATCTAGTTTATAAGTCCGGCATTACAAATAACTTAAATTAGGGTACATGTGTATTTTGAGCAAAGTGTAATGGATCTAAAGTAAAAGTATTAATCTCATCATGTGTTATGAATGAATCAGAGGTGATATGATTTTGTTCTATTGCAGGTGTTTCCAATCATTTGGCTGATTAAATCCCTCTTAAGGACTCCTCTTTAATGGTTTTGGTTTCATCTGTCTAAAAATATTACTAGTTAGGTGACCTCAGTTTAATTTGAAATGTGAGGCACACAGAAAACTCTGTTATCATTAATGAAACAATATAAACACATTCTGTTTTATGTTATTACTTAGGCATCATTCAAATCTTTCACAACGTAAAATGTGTGTGGTCAGACAGAAATCCACGCAACCAGTCTGCATGATCTGAATAGGTTTACCATTTTCTGTAACAGGGAGTGCAGAGTTATTTGCATTATAGAGTTGGTGCAATTGTCCAGATATCCAATATGTCAACACATTCTTGCAGAAAAAATGCTGCAGTATTGATCTTTTGTATGCTGATGATTTTAAATGAGTATTCCTATTTTGTAACAACAAATGAGAGTTGGGTGGATGATGTGCGTGTGTACATGAGTAGGTAATTGAAGTGTCTCATTGCTGGCTGAGAGCTGCTGAAGCAGAGAAGAGGATGGACACGTCTGCAATTTGAAACCTTGTTAGGAATTTATGAAGTGCTAAAATGTTTTCTCCCCAGGGAGGGTCCAAGCCAGCTGCCAGTGCCACTGTAAGCCATTTAGTGCACAGCCTCTGGGCTTGTCACCATGCTGAGATACGCACAACAAATACTGTACAAGTATTATTTTCCTGAAATACAAAATATAAAGAGTCGGATGCAAACGTGCTGACTTCACTCTGAAATCAAACAGCTGTAGATTACTGTGGAGCTAATTGGTCCAACATTGACATGTATTACCCTCCTGTCCTCTGGAGAATGCTCCTTCACAAACTGCATTTGACATTGGTCTCTTTACTGTGATGTTGGCTTGAATTAAAGCTTGAACATGATCAAGGCAACTGACCTTATTTCATAATTGATAGTAGTTATGCTAATGTCATGTTCTCGAGGTCCCTGGGATGGGAATACATGATGAATCCTTAACTACTTATCATGTTACGCAAATGGAAGCACTTCAACTAGGTGGCATTAGAGTGATACTTATTTGTGCTTTTTAATTTTTGAAATTTTTAAGAACTTTATTCAAGATTTTGCTAACATCCGTTTACAGGAAATTGATGAAGTACAATACCTGGTTGTAACGGCGAACATCCTGTGTTTCCTCTCTTGCAGTTTTCAGTGAGGACCTACATTCCAGCTTATACTTTGTCAATGCATCTTTGCAAGAGGTAGTATTTGCCAGCACCACAGGGACCTCTGTGCCCTGTCCTGCTGGTGGCGCGCCCCCCTGCCTCGCTACGCTGGTATCTGGCGACCGGCGAGGAGATCTACGATGTCCCCGGCATCCGCCACGTCCACCCCAATGGAACCCTCCAGATCTTCAACTTCCTGCCATCCAGCTTCAGCAAGCTGATCCACGACAACACGTACTACTGCACTGCCGAGAACCCCTCCGGCAAGATCAGGAGTCAGGATGTCCACATCAAAGCTGGTGAGTCCAACGCTCCGAGTAGCAGGGGTTCCTTTAATAATGATGATGAGGGAAATGGCAGGAGCACTACTCAAAGTATTAAATACATGTATTAATAACAGTTGGGCTGCACGATATTGACAAAAACTGACATCGCGATTTTTCCCCCCCCTGCGGTATATATTGCGGTTTTTTTAACCTGTTAAGCCCCAAAGTCCCGGCGGGTACTTTACTTTTTTTTTTCAAGACACTGTGTCTCAGGGGACCTTAATATTTAAGAACCTATTAATGTGTTATACCAGATTAACGGAAATAATCTCAGCTAACTGACGATACAAACCATGTTTACCAAAACAAAACACAAGTCTCATAAGAAGCATCTAAATGACCCCTGAGCGAAAAATGCTAACGCACTTTGGCACAGAACTCAAGATAAAAGTACCCTTATTACTTATCGTAGCTGCACATACAAGATATTAGGGATGCCAGTGATTATTCGATTATTCGAATATTCGTTACAGTCTCCATAATCGAATATTATTTTTAAAAATCGATTTTATTTATATATTTTTTTATTATTATTTATGTTTATTTTTTTTTCTGGCTTAGTTTCAACCAAAATATAGACTAATAATATTAATAGTATTAATAATTGTAAATGGCCATTGGTCACACCACCAGTTTGTTTTACTGTAAACTTGGAGGAAGCCTGCGTGCCTGCTGCAGCACGCTACACACCGACCCCGACCCCGCCCCCACCCCCCCTCTCCCTCACACGTGCGACTAAAGATGAACAAAGCGGCAGGTAAAAAGAGTTCCTCCTCGTGGAACTACTTCGCACTTACAAGTCCGAAGGAAGTTAAATGCAAGCTCTGCGAAAAGACGTTGGTCTATCACAGCTCAACCTCAACAATGTGTTTTGAGTGCATCCATTGAACACGTCTTTTGATCAGATTGACAGCTACGGTGAGACGATCTCCCGTAAAAGCTCCGTAAAAGGTACGTGTTGTGATGTCTGTGTTTGCTTCCCCTGTTGCGAGATCGGATCGCTTAGATATTATACTTAAATAATCTGTGGAGTCTCAGCTTTAATCGGATATATTGTATGTGCAGTTTCGATAAGTAATAAGGGTATCTTTATTTTGAATTCTGTGCTAAAGTGCGTTAGCATTTTTAAAAAAAACAACAAAAAAACGCACGTCCCTGCGGTGTGAATATCGCGCATGTGCATATCGCGGTTATCGCCATGACACGGTATATCGTTCAGCCCTAAATAACAGTACTAGTAGTTAGGCCTTTTGATTCAAATTTTGTTAGCATCAATCAGAATCAGAAATCCTTTATTCGTCCTGCAGCGGGGACATTTACAGCGAAACAGATAAAAGGCAAAATAGTAGACTTATATATTAAATATAAAAGCAAGCACACAGATAACTAAACACGGTATTGCCATGCTTCTTTTCCATACAAACAATGTAAATGTAATAGAAACAACACTCAAGATGTACTTCCTTTTGCGAGTTGAGAGTTGAGAGTTGCTAGATTTGATCAAAATCTAGAAAACGTACAATGTATTGATTTCTGGCAAAGTGCAGTGTTACAATCAGTTCTGTGAGCCATACTTTTAATGTTGGGACTAAAATACCAGTATATATATATATATATAATATGTTTTAGTCATGATGGTTTTTGTATGAATACAGTGCAAAAATCAATCACTTAAAATACTTATTCATGGGATTGATAAATGTGTGTAGTCTAAATTAATTAAGTGCAGGTTTCCAGAATCTTATAATAACCCTGTCATGTTTCTTTGACAAAGAGCAAAAGCTCAAAGCATTTAAAGCGTGACTTTAATTAACTGACCTGAGTCTGATGGATGGATGTCTCACTGTTTCAGGGAGATCGGCTGAGAGTACATGTTAAAAATATCAAACCGTTACAGTTGGTCAGAGACATTGTAATAATTTGTGTTTATTTAATTAGCTTATTCCCACCACAAAGTCCACTCAGTAGCTACTTGTATGGACTTTTTCTCAGCAGATTGAAAATATAGATTGACATTTTTTCGGAGCATTTTAAAGATTTCTTGGACACATTACAGTTAACTCTTGACCGCCACAGAGATAATATTGCTTAGTCAGAATCAGAATTACCTTTATTCGTCCCACAGAGGGGATATTGACATTGTTACAGCAGGAGACAATTCTGATAAAGGCAAAATATTACAGTATTAAGTAAAGAGGCAAATGTACAGTAATGTAACACCTCATAATAATCACATATACCCTGAATAAAAAGCAACAGCATTATAAAAGTGAATAGAAACAAGTAGATGGTAATGGGGCAGCTGCCAGACGATGGTATATTTACTTGTATTTATTGCACAGTGTGATACACATCCTTTTTTTTTATATCTCCTCACCTGTTTGACTCTTGCCTATTTGGCTTCAACAGAAAAACCTTTTAAAAATGTTGATATCATTTGATTCTTACCTCTGGTGTCAATAAAAGTAGTTCTTCTTCCAGTATAACATCGTATCATTTTATACAAAAAACAAGTAGTATTGTTAAACTAACTTTTCCTAACTCCTTAAATTGTTCTCTCTATGTGTTACATAGGGGTGTAACGGTATCCGTATTCGTCCCGTACCGTCACGGTTCAGACGTCACGGTTCGGCACACGCAGTCACACGACGAATACGCTTTTTTTTACGAGTGGGAAAAAAGTCTGTCATTCAGGGCAGTATCCACTACACTATTTATAATCCAGGGGGCGGTATTACGCCTAAAAGCTGTTTGCCAGCCGCCCTTAAACGACAAATGAAGAACAAGAAGAAACACAACAACAAAACGAACAAAATACAAGAAGAAGAAAAGTTAGTATGGCGATTTCAGATAACACACAGGAGCTAGAACCCACCTGCTTCTTTTAAATCAGCTGTGTGGGAACATTTCGGGTTCCCTGTGGACTACAATAACGATGAAGTGTGCGAGTGGTGGATCGGACGAGGACGGTGTGTCGGCGTTGTTCTACAGTGGTGCGGTAAATCATATCAGAAGGCATCACCCAGATTTGCCACTCACCGGAGCCCGGCCAAAGACAACAGCAGTTCAACAGCTGATCCCCGCTGTTTTTAAGAAGCCAATAAACATGAGAGCCGAGAGACCAAAATAAATAACGGAAGCTTTTGGCATAATGTTTTTCAACGACTTTGCGCTCTTGAAACATTTTCTTATTATTTATGATGTAATATTTTCAAGACATTCTTTTTAGTTTTACAGCTTGATGAAACCTTTTTGTTTGACATCAGCCATTATAGATAATATGGCCATCTGAGTGTGTGTGGAACTGTTTGTGGTTTGTTTTAAACTGTTTAATACAGTTAATTATTCAAAATGTCAGAGTTCTTTATTTTTAAACTGAAACTTGCACTACTGTTCAAACATAAATAACAACAAACCTGGAATTATGCATTTGGGACTTTTTTTTGCTTTTTCTTGTTGTACCGAACCGTGACCTCCAAACCGAGGTACGAACCGAACCGTGACTTCTGTGAACCGTTACACCCCATACTCTCAGTACTACATGCTCAGCTGATTCCTCCTCCTGACATGGCCTTCCTCTCCACACTGCAGGAAGTTATAACAATGCTGGCCAAACCATAGTTGAGTGCAGGGGAGAAAAGACTCTTCCCTTCTAAAATATGGCTGTCGCTTAGGTGAAGTGGCTTCTTTAAACACCCCTTAAGTTTTAGGAAAATGGCACAGTCCAATGAACCAGGCACACCCACATAGGCAGGTGTTAACACAACACACAATTACCAATCACCATATTCAACAAGATTCCGGCACTTAATCGATACATTTGGTTAAAAATGTGTCTATTTATGATGTTAAACAAAGAAAAGCATAAACTTCAGGATGTGTGGTTGGTAGTTACAGGCTTCACGTGCCTGCAGCAAAAATGGTAAAAAATGTATACAGTAATGTTCTCTTATGAATGAGAAATATATTTCTGTTTCTGTTTTTGTTCCCTAGTATCACGGGAACCCTACACAGTCCGAGTGGCCGACCAGAAGGCCATGAGAGGCAGTGTAGCCGTCTTCAAGTGCATTATCCCTGCTTCTGTTGAGGCCTACGTCAATGTTGTATCATGGGAGAAAGACACCGTTTCACTCAACTCAGGTAAGACAAATATATCTTTATTTATTCGGAAGATAACAGAACATTTCACAATCTGGAAACTTGAGTATTTCCATGTTGCTACTTTATACTTGTACTCTGGAAGCCAATCTTTTACTATTTATTCCTCTGTATTTGGGTTAACAGAATGAATATGAATCCAATCTAAATAATTGAATACATTCTCCTATTAGTTCTTAATACTTTTACTCGATGCAGTTGTTTTGCTTGAAATTGAGTATTTTTACAGTGTGGTATTAGTACTCTCACTCACGCATAGAATCGGAATACTTTTTCCACCACTGTCAATTCCTCTGTTGCAAGAGAGTCAGAAAGCAGCCATTGGTGAGATGTTTTTTTATTTTTATTTAGTTGTCAGAACTCCAAATAAATATGTATTAAATGCCCAAGACAGCTAATGCTTTATGGACAGTTTAAGTGGGTAGTTTAAGAGAGGTTGAACTGCCTTAAATAAATCAAAAAGCAGAAGGTATTCTTATGTTTCACAGAGGGAAAGGTGTTTTGCTTTTTATTTTCTCGTTGTTTTTTATCCCACTCCTGCTCCTCGCTCTTTGGACACCATGTTCTGTTTCTCTGTGAGTCATCTCCTTACCTGCCGTAGTCTAAGCGCTACGGGGCTCTGCAGCACAGTCCTCTCACCAGCCAGAGGACGCTGATAACTGTCACATTGAATCACTGATCTTCTCTCTCCTACACACACTCCTTCACCTCAGCCAACTCCATTTTGAGTCCAGCACGGGGTAAAGTGAAACAGTTTACACAGCGCCATTGACCTAGTTATACCCTTCTTGTTTGAATCCAGCGGCGCAGCAGGATAACGCGAGACACACCGCCACGTTCTGCGGGTTGGATTTTTTACTCGCGTTAAATGGGATGCTTATCTCTTGATTGCTCCATGTACTGCCCGCTGGCTGATTTTGCTTCATACTGGGGCGTTCAGGGACCTGTAAGTGAGCACTTGATGTCATTTGACTGAGGGCAGAATCTGGGACGGTGTTTTGGTGGCATTTTAAATGTGTGTGCTCAAGCGTGAAGACGTGTCTTCTGATCCATGCCAGCGACTTATTTACTTGAGGTTACTCCAGTTACTCGCTGCGAGCTGCCGGTGGAAGACATCGCCTAATGTCACGGAGAGCGGGCAAATATGCAGCATGCAGATATGATTATGTTCTGTAAATGAAATGAATCATGTAGACAAGACTCAGAGATGATGTTTATCTCATCTGCGGCTGGAAAAAAAAAAGTGTCCATTATGGGGATGAAATGTTTTAACATCTGTGTCTTTAGTAGACGTCTGTTGGCCTGAATTAAAAAGATACACATGGTGTATACAGTACTTTCCTTATTTTGTCTTGACTAATCTATTAAAACTATAATACATTAAGGAATTAGAAAAGTATCGATCATCTTTGCACGTATGAATGAATTTGGATTCATACAATCATTGCCAATAATTTGTTAAAGAGGCCCTATTATGCTTTTTGGGGTTTTCCCTTTCCATTACATTGCATTTAGCTGACGCTTTTATCCAAAGCGACTTACAATAAGTGCGTTCGACCAAGAAGATACAACCTTGAAGAAAACAGAATCATATAAGTACATCAGGTTTCATAGAGCCAAACATTTCAAGTGCTACTCAACTGGCTTTAGGTAAGCCAGTCCTTTATTAGTATATAAGTGCTTTGTTAATAGTTCTATCGCTCGAAGTGGAGTTGAAAGAGATGAGTTTTCAGTTTGCGCCGGAAGATGTGTAAGCTTTCTGCCGTCCTGATCTCAATGGGGAGCTCATTCCACCATCCTGGAGCCAGGACAGCAAACCCACGTGTTTTCGCCGTTGGGAACTTGGGTCCCCCTCGCAGCGAGGGTGCAGCGAGTCGTTCGGCTGATGCAGAGCGTAGTGCACGCGCTGGGGTGTACGGTTTAACCATGTCCTGGATGTACGAAGGGCCAGATCCATTCGCAGCATGGTACGCAAGTACCAGTGTCTTGAAGTGGATTCTAGCAGTTACCGGAAGCCAGTGAAGGGAGCGGAGGAGCGGAGTGGTGTGGGAACATTTAGGAAGGTTGAAGACCAGACGAGCCGCTGCATTCTGGATGAGCTGTAGTCTTCTATAGGTTTTAGTGCATGTAAATGGTCTGCAACGGCTAAAATCCCTGTGTTACCTACAGAGGGAGTTTATTTCCCACACACTCCCCCCCCCCCTGCCTGAAACACCTTGAATTGGACTCCTTTGTTTACTCGTAACATCACTACGCAACACTTGTGCTTCTATTGGCTAGCGCTCCAGCGTGATAGGCTAGGGGGCAGGACATCTCTAAGTTGTTGACCAATCACAACAGAGTCGGCCAGCTGACCAATCAGAGCAGACTGGCCTCTTTTCAGACAGAGGGTGAAAAGAGGTGCAGGCAGTATGAGAAAAATATAGAGCTTTTTGAACATTAAAGCATGGAGACATGTCACAGTAGAGGCACTTAATATAAATATGAACTTCAAAATGACGTCCTCTTTCAGAAAGACACATATACTATACTTCTTAATTTTGTCTTTACTAACTTATTTAAACCTAATTACTAAAAAGAGTATAGGTTCTCTTTGCATGTATCACTTCCTAAATTGACAATTATCAGTAACTTTTTATTTATTTTATTTCTACAGCAAGTCTGACGGGCTGGTTGATAGATGATATTGTACGCCTGGCTTTCTTTCAAGTTCTTTCGCTAGCATTCAACAGAACAACGATATTGGATTGTCCGTGTTTACTCCAATAAGTATTGCAGCAGGCGAGTGCTGTCAAAAGCATGAGCACACTGTCAAAATCACTGCTGCTCCGTGATAAATATTTCATGGTCGATTCTGATGCATGAGCAGCTTCACCTCGCACTGTTATGGAGAGGGTATGTTTACTCTAGGAGCGAGGGTGAGCAGAAGGTGTGTGTGTGTGTTTTTGTGTGTGTGCGTGTGTGTGTGTGCGTGTGTGTGTGTGCGAGCGACAGGCCATAAGGATATCGACATGGCAATGGCAACTGGGTGCAGTTTGACCCAGCCTTGTTGTTTCCCGACTGCTTCTTCCATTCCCCCTTTTTTCTTTTTTCAATTTTTCATGAAAGAAGACTTGGTCTCAGTGGACACAAAATAAAGCTATCCAACAGCCACACTGAATTATTAATCTCAGGTTTTTTGTTGGGAACGGTAACATCAAACGCACTTCTCTACCTTCGCATTGTGCATCAGAATGTGAGGAAGAGCAATCGAGAGACAACTTAGAGGGAAAATGTCACTTGGTTTTTAAGGAAATGTTTATGAAAGTCCAGTTTACAGACCTCAAAACCTCTATAGCGTTGATCACAGGCTTGGAGTAATGGATTACATGTAATTTAAAGGTAGGGTAGGTAAGAATGGAGAAACCAGCTCGAGTGCGCTAGAATTTGAAAGTTCACAACCGGAAAAAATCTGCCCCTTCCTTCAGACTTCCTTACAGAGCCCCTCCTCCAACACACACGAACGCGCACATGACCAATGAGGGCACGAGATAAGTTCGTGAACGAGATGGAAGGCTGACAGGCAGGTAGGCCATCCAGTTACTTTAGCCGGCTCAAATGATTGGTCGTGCTTTTTACAGCGCCACGGCTTCCACAGATGTTTTTTTTTTAATGTATTTATTGGCAAAGCATTTAATATATTCATTGCTATCGGGATGTTAAGAGCATTCCATGGAATATGACAAAAAGTGTTTCTGAAGTGAATTACCTACCCCACCTTTAATCAGGATAGACATTTATTTTAACTGTATTTCCTCATTGTTGCATAAATATTAATCTGATTACCGTTTCTTAAAATTCGGGATTACTGTCAGGATTAGTGTTAGTAAAAACCTAAAAAGAGCATATTGTTTGTTCTTTTAAAGTTACCGTCCCAAACCTGGTTGATCGCTACTCATTATGTCGGCTTGTTTATTATCATCACGTATAAATGTGCTTTTTAAGATCAATAATGTAGAGAGGAAACTGGCTCCTGATATCTTTGCAAAGCCACTGATTCACATTAGGGTAAAAAATAGATGCATAATTACAGACCAGGGCTTGTCTTAATTAATCAGCTGTGATTGAAAAGTTAATTACAATATGAATTACCTCTCAGATCGAGGACTGCTTAGTAGTCATTTGAAGCGGCCTGTTTTCAATGTGAATGAGCACGACGTGCGCTCACTGGGTCCTAATGTTGCCACTAACATACCATTAACCCGTCATGCATTTTAAAACGTGTCTCTCAGCGACGGACCTTTCAAACGCCCGGCCGCGAACGCCTTCTCGCTGCTTTTGATAAACAATTGACAGAGCTAATAGAGACATGAAAGAGACAAAGAAAGGGAGGCGAGGAGATGTGTCCTACTGTGTGGATTTTACACGGTGGACCTTTATATTAATGCATGTGTGTTGTCACTCGCTTGTAGCTCTTCTTTACGTGTTTCAAGTCTGTTTTGAAAAGGCTTGGCTCAGCCTGGGATGGTGTATCTTTTTGTGCTTTTTTTCTACCTTTTGTCTCATCAGTCACGATATGTGCAACGTAATGAGAAGAGAAGAGCTTCAACAAAAAGCAGTGCTTGGATATTGAAGGAGCTGCAAACAACATATCGTGACTGAGACTTGCTCTCTTGTCTGTCTGTCTACATACAGCAATATGTCAAATGTTCGAGTCCCTGCAGTGTTAGCTGTAATATATCAACCCTGCAGATTATTTCTATCTGTACCTGCATGTACAATTGTGTGTACATCTCCCACACACTGAGTTCTTATTGACTTTTCTCACCTTCCACGAATGAAGAAGCAACATCATCTCTAGCAAAGGATACACACACTCCCAGAGCTGTGTATGCATGTGTTAACATTTGCATCTATTCAAATCATGTGCACATTTTGGAGAGCAGTACCAATACCATTGAAATTAATGATGGAACGATACCACAGAATTAGTGACAAAAGTG